GGAAACTTCCCTGTTGTGGATGACAAAAACCATGTCCACTGAAGTGATCGGTTTGTCAGACCTGGACAGCTGGTTCTTAGGAAATGGGTGGAGATTGCTAAGCTAACAGGTCAAGAGAGTTTGCAGTTTGCAGGATAATTACCTGGTACAGTGTTGTGATCCACCCCCCCCCTCAAACCATGGACTTTTCATTAATTGTGGAGTTCCTGTTAAAGTCGTCTCTAGTATGTGGGTATGGCCAAAGAATAGTGAGTTTGAGACAGGCATTTTTGTTCTGATTGCCTTTATTTTATTAGCTTTGGGGACCATTAATTGTATATTCAGTCCTCACATGCAGGGAAAAATGTCTTTTTACTCATTTTTTGTTCAGTTGTGATACATTGAATGGCTGAGGACTTAAAACAGATGTGCTGTGCATAATCTTTTCTTCCTGATTACAGAAGTCCTATCTGTTCATTGTTTGAATAGTTGTGATTAAGAAACCGATAATTTGGGGATGGAAAATTCCTTGTAATTCCCAGAAATATGTATACTTAACATTTTGGTATTTGTTCCTTCAGATTCTTGCCTGTGATTATTTTGTTATATATTTGAATTGTATTTTACCCACCAAGGTATTTTAGGACAGAAATACGTCTCTGGCATGCCTGAAGCCTTTCATTTAACCATTTATGGTTTTCAGTGTATTTTACTTGGTAGTCCCCACTAAGACCCAGAAGCTCTGCAAGGGAGAAGAAACTGTGGCTTCTACTGTGTGCCTGGTAGTGTGCTCAGGCATTTCACTTGGATTTTCTCTTAGTTTTTCGCCAGCTTCACAGCATAGGCAGGAGTTACTATCTCTTTATACACATGAAGAGGAAGAAGCAGGCAAGTTAAGTGACTTGCTCAAAGTTAATCAGTGAGGAACTTGGGATGCCTACCCACTTAATTAGACTTCTTGTTTAGAGAATATGGTGTAGCACCTTATGCCTTTTCATATTGAGAAGTGTTTTTTAATGGAAAATAATTTTTTGAGATGTATATACCTGTTGAATGAAGACACACTGCTTCTTTGACTTAAAAAAGTAGCTTATTGTTTTTTTTAAAAAAAACATTTATTTGTTTTTAGAGAGAAGGGAAGGGAGGGAGAGAAACATGGGTGTGAGAGAGAAACATTGCTTGGTTGCCTTTTGTACACCCCTGACCTGGGACTGAACCTGCAACCCAGGCATGTTCCCTGACTGGGAATAGAACCGGCAGCCTTTCGCTTTGTGGGGTGATGCCCAACCAACTAAGCCACATCGGTCAGGGCTAGGTAGCTTGTTAGTTTTTGACCAGAAGTTGGTATTCCATGACCCAGTGGCTGAATCTAGCCTTATGTCCTTTTTGGAAGTGTTATTAGAACATGGCCACACTCATTCATTTACATATTGCAAAAGACTGTCTGACCTGCAAAGCCTGAAATAATTACCTTCTGACTCTTTATAGAAAATGTTTCTTGACCCTTGCTGTGGACACCAATTTTTATTTAGGTGTGTAATTTTTTTTCCAGATACTTTGGTAGTTGGAAGTGCTTTCTTCTCCCAAACCAGTCAAACTGCCGTGTCACTTCATCCCTAAGTTTTTGTGTGATCCTATGCAGTGAATGCATTTCTACATAGTCCTTTGCAGATAGCGTGAATTACAAAAAAATTCCAAAACTTTGCTACTGTTAACCTTTGTAAAGCACTGCACACCCAATGCTGACTAATTCTGGCACACTGCACTCTATGAAAATAGGCCAAAGATAGCTGATATTAAAGTGTAGGGAGAGGTTATAGCCAGTCTTTGCTTCTCTAAGCAGCAGCACCCTGGGACTTTTTACACATGGGCGTCATGGGGGAATGTAGATTTGTGTAGCTGTGATAGTTGCATTAAAGTTGGGTGAGTCTTGCCCTGGCCAGTGTTGCTCAGTTGGTTGGAGCATTATCCTGTAATGGGAAGGTTGCAGGTTTGATTCCTGGTCAGGACACATACCTGGGTTGAGGGATTGATCCGGGTCCAGGCACATATGGAGGCAACCAATTGATGCTTCTCTGTCAGTGTTTCTCTCTCTCCCTTCCTCTCTGTCTAAAAAATTAATAATAAAAGAAAGTCCTTGGGTGAGAATAAAAACAAAGAGAAGAAGGAAATATGGAAACATTTTTTAAAAATTGGGGGAGTCTTCTTTTGATATCAAGTGAATTTGTTTTTATACAACAGTAAGCTATTAAATTTGTTTTCTTCGAGCAATTTGAAAAATGTAAAATGTGGGAAGAATAAAAATACTTAATTACTGTGATTGTTACTGTTTCACATCCCTCAGATTTATGACTCCTCAGAACTCTAGCTGGTTGCTACTGAATGACAGAGTTATGCTTCTAAAAATTTTTTTAAAGATTTCATTTATTTATTTTTAGAGAGAAGGGGAGGGAGAAAGAGAGGGAAAGGAACATTGATGTGTGAGAGAAACATTGATCAGCTTCTCCTTGCATACCCTCAACCAGGGACCTGGCCCACAACCCAGGCATGTGCCCTGACTTGGAATTGAACCGGTGACCTTTCAGTTTGCAGGATGACGCCCAACCTACTGATCCACACCAGTCAGGGCGACAGATTTATTCTCTCAACAGCCTGCATTGCCAGCACAACAATGACCAGTCCCTTTGACCAGTGTAGAAGGACAGGCACATTGTCATTCCTGTCTAATTCTGATATCAGAACAACTTGCCTGGGTTTAGAGAGTTTACTATTCCAAACTGATCGGGTGGCATCAGCCTTTCCTTAGAGCCACTTGAGTTTCACCAGCTCTTTTGTACAAATGCAGTGGGAGCCACTCAGAGAAGTTGATGTTTGTGGTCCTCACACACATAGTCATCTTAAATGTCTTGGAAAATGAAGAAACATCAGAGGACCAGTAAGTCACAAGTATGTCTCCGTAGATTTCTGCAATCCTTATGGGGATTACCAAGGTTTTAATTCATGTTTCAGTTTCCACTGATATTTCTTCGGCTTGTGATGACAAGAATACTTAAGTTAGTTCAGGCAAATTGGTTCATAAATTTATGGATTTTTTTCAGTCCTTTGTCCCAGGCAAGTCTGAACAGGACCTGGAAAGCTGATTAAAAGGCCAGTGAGCGCGCTGAGCTTAATTTCAAATTAAATGGATTTTAATGTACTGAAAAAGTACTCAAGTGCTTCAATCTCTCTTTTTAATCCATGCTTGAATCTAATGGACTGGAAATACTTATTTTCCTACTACAAGACTTAGCTATTGCTACACTTCTCAAGCTTGACATTCATGGTGGATTTCTGCAGGTGATCTTAACACCTAAGGATGCAAAATTACTAAATGAAGGCAGACAGGAAGGAAAGAGAGCGCTGAGCCAGGAAGTCTGTTTCTGTGTGTGGGGTGCACCAGAGAATGACCTGGGGCGGGCGCAAAGGTGGTCTGTCAGTCAGTGTGGGTGGGGGAAGCCACCTGGCCATCAGCATCCTCCTGCCTTGGTCCAGCGGCTCACATTGAATCCCACTCGTCATTGGAGGTCAGTGGTATAGCAGCCTAGTTATGTTTTTTTTTCTAAGTATGTTAAGTACTTTTTAGGTAAGTCCTAATCTCAGACATAAACATCCTGACCAAACTGGAAGACCTGTGAAAACTTTAAAATTGAGAGGGTTTTATTCTTTGAATTATGTGCTGTCCCTAAGGCATTGCCCTTTGTTCTAAACATTTGGTCTTTGATAACCTATTTATTCTGTTTGGATTTCAGTGAATTGTTAGTGCTATTTTGTGATCTGGTAGAACACAAAGTGTGGGATTTTATCTATTTTTTTTGCACATATGAATTATTGTACATTTCTGTACTGTTTATATTGCTGGTTAGTATGTGCTTTAATTTGATTCATTTACCTATTACAGATGGGTAAGACACTTCTTTAGATCAGTTTATAATGAAATTACTTGGGTCTGCTTCTCTGACTCTTGTGAAGATGGAAACAGCTTATTCTCAAATTTAGGGTGTTTGGCAAAGGACCTGCTCTTCTGCAGTCCACAATTCTGGACCATGATATTTTAGCTTAGATGAACCACGAAGTTAAACTTTGAAGGACATGCTATTCTTAATATTCAGGAATGTGTTATACAATCTTGGAAGTTTACTTTAAAGTTCTTCATAAGATTTTTGTGAGAATTCATTTAGTGACAGTAATGATAGGGGATTTAGCTATTAATTTTAATTTTAAAGAGAGCAACAACTTTAAGTTGGAAGCCAGCTCTAGCCTCCCTTTCCTGAGAGTAAGGCAGAGAAGAAAAGATGTAGTGGTCCACTGCCACCCTCTTTCCTTCCTTTTTCTTCCTTTTTTATTCATTGATTTGAGAGAGAGAGGAAGAGAGAGGGAAAGATCGACTTGTTGTTCCACTCATCTGTATATTCATTGGTAGATAGATTCTTTTATTTACCTTGACCAGGGATTGAACCCATGCCCTTGGCATATTGGGACAGTGCTCTAACCAACTGAACTATTTGGCCAGGTGTTTTTTTTTGTTTGTTTGTTTTGTTTTGTTTTTTTTTTAAATAACAATTGCCACCCTCTTTTCCCCATGCTCCTTGGTGGGGCTGGGAGCAGCATTGGGTGAGTGTGAGGGATTATACAAAAGCATAACTGAACATACGCTGTTTTTACTGTAGTGATAAACTGCTTTTAATATCCTGTTGGTGGTTGGAACGGCTTTGGTGACAGTGAAACCTTTCTTTTTTTTCCAATCAGAAAATTTTTCTCCCCACTTGAAAAGGTTGAATCTGGGCTACCAGGAGTTTTGCAATCTTTGACCTTCGTGCCTTCCGAAACCTCTAAGGAAAGCTGGCTGGGTATCCGGTGATCTCAGACTTCTGATTGTGCTCAGGCAGCCATGCTTGGCATGTAGGACTTGAGGTGTTTTTTATATTTTTGGTGATAACTTTTAATTTTATTTTTACTTATTTCTTCTCCCTTTTCTTTTTCAGTGTCCTGGGTCATGAAACTTAATCCACAGCAAGCTCCACTATATGTAAGTAAATCACGAAATTTATTTTCATTTTGTACTTACCTATCCTGTTTACTTGTTAAAATAACCCCCAATATGCTGTCATGTTATTATCAGAGGAATTTTTAACCATGTACACATGAATTTATTGGCATAACAAACTTCAGAAATTGAACTTGAGTTAGTAAATATTAAGTGACTAATATGTGCATGGTTCTGAGCTGAGTACAAATAATATAATACCTGCAAGATTGTGAGCTGAACTAGTCAGGGCGATAAGATGCACATGTAAAGTAATTGCATTGCTCTGCAAAATGATTTTGTGGCTTCTTTTACTTCCAGTGCATTTCTGTAAAGGTAGTGTGGTCTTCCTACTGCCCGTGTGCGTTACCCTGTGTTGCAGCTAGGTGGTGCTCTGTCACTGACTCTAGGAGTCTGAGTGAAAGCTGGTGTGCCATCTGAAGGCAGGCAAGTCACAGGGACTTAACGCTGTTTTGATGAAGAAAAGTGACTGTTAAGTGACAGTCCATGGGTGAGGTGTTTAATTCTCTGCTCTTAGAGAAAAACGTAATACACAAAAAACCCAAAAAGAGTGTGTTGAAGTTTTTCTTTCAGTTTGTGTTTTGAACCTGCTAAGGGTGAGTATCATCAGCAAGAAAAACTATTAGTAAATAAGGAAAAACACTGGATCCTAAGAAATATTAAAAAAAAAAAAACCCACAATTCTCATAGCACTTAATGATAAAGACTTGCATAAAGTCCTTTTTAAAAATAAGTAACCCAAGTTTAATTTTCCATTTCACATGTTTTAAAAATGTTAAATGTACTTGAAATAAGTTCAGATTTACAGAAAAGTTGGAGGAATACAACTCACCTCTGTTCATCTCTTATTAACATTTAGTCACATTAGGTTATCATTCTCTGTATTACATATTTTTTTGAATCTCTTGAAAGTTACAGACATCATACCCTATTCCCCTAAATATTTCAGCATATATTTCCTAAGAACTAGGACATTTCTCTTTCATAACCACAGTACAATGAACGAAAACAGGAATTCTAACATTGATGTAATGCTCCTATGTAATGTAAGTCCATATCCAAATGGACTTACCCCAGTAATGTCCTTAATAGCATCCTCCTCCCATTCTGTCCCCAATCCAGGATTTAATCCACGATTCCACGTTGTATTTATGTCTGTTTAGTCTCTTAATCAGGAGTGGTTCCTCTGCTTCTCTGTCTTTTGTCACATTGACTGCTTTGGAATATTATAGGCCATTTACTTTGTAGGAGTTTTGGTTTGTATGATGCTTTCTCCTAATTTTGGCAGGAATACTACATATATGATGCCCTTATTGGTGTATTGTATTGATCCCTTGGTTATTGTAGTGTTGCTTTTGCATAGCAGAATTTATCTGTTCCAGTGGCAGTGGAGATGTAAAGCAGATGCTGTGATTGTTCATTTCCCCCCTTAATGTTCTTTCTGGTTTGTAAGCACCTTTTGCATAGCGGATCTGCCTAACATGGGACATCCTTGTTCTAAAGTGTGCCCTTGAATGTGAGTGAAAGGGCCGATGTGAGCAGAGAGCACATTGTGAGTGATTCATTGCCTGAGGTGTGAACAGAATGTTGTCTCTGCCCTTGTGGGTACATACCGGGTTTTTGAACAAATGTAATTCTTAACTAAACAGGTACAGCCATACTTAATATGGAACATAGTAGTCACTCAGTGAACATCTGTTGAGTGAATGAATGAAATACAGTTTAGACAAGGCTATATAAAATATTAGTAAGCTGACCTTCTTATTAACAGAACAACTGCTTTTCTTAAAGTTGCTCATTTGTTTCCCAGGTTTCTTTATTAATTACTTTATGTGGGCCCAGCATAGTTAGTGGTGCCATCTTTGTGATTGAAGGTGTTGCTGACAAGGATAAATGTGCTAATGATGTCTTTATTGTGCATGGGTAGCTTCCCCTTTGCAGTTGTAAGGAAATCTGTACAGCATGTCCGATAGAGTTCTGTTGTACAGATAACCAGTCTCTCACCTCGTCATTAGCAAATTGAAAGTCATACTAGAAATAGTGCCTGTTATCTCTTGAGTCCTGAATTACTCACTACCTCTAGTCCTAATGGGACTTATGGTCTGAGCCACTTGTTTACGTGACAGCTAATATGTTTTTATGAACACAGTACATGTGCCCTTTGGCTCCATACCCCTTCTCACTGTCAAGATAAAAGCACAGACTTTTCCCAGAAGGGGCAGGGGATGAGGACTGCTGTCAGATGATAAAAGAAAAAGGCAGGCACATGAAACAAATGTTGGTATTTATTTATAAAGCAAACAAAATAGGCCCTACACCACCCACACACTAAGCTCCACTGACCTAGCAACCTACCAACTGGACACTAGCAACAGTAAACAAATCCTCCCCCAGACGAACAGCTGAAAAGGAAGCAAGATTTTTAAACTTCCGAAGGAAGGGGAGGGGAAGGAAGAGGAAAGGGTCTTTGGATGCCTCTTATCTTAGGTTCCAGGCTCATTCTAGAAGAGATCAGGCCCGGCGTGAAGCTCTATAAGGTACAATAGGTGTCAAGAATAAAGAGGCCTGGATTAATCCCATACTTCACATTCCAGGGGCAGCCCTTCCTTTCCCCTGTCATCATTGTTCGGGAAGGAAAGTTGTGATGATGCACCCAACTGAGTGTTCCACTGTCAGGTCTATGCAGGGGAACAGTTTGATGGGTCATGGGAATTACTGTGTTTTCCGGGTGGTTGAGCCCCGTCTTCTGGAAGAGTGAAGAAACGGAGCTATAGACCCGTTGAGGGATTTGCCTAAAGTTTCATGGGGATTGTGATAGGTCTGGTCAGGTAGCAGAATCTGCAAATAAAGAGCTTAGCTGGTGTTACAAGCAGCAGGCCATTAGTTGGCTTGAAGACTCAATAAATGGGCTAAATAACAGGAAGATAATAGTAAAGGGAAGATCGGAAGAAGAAAGGAATATTTGAAAAAGATAACAGTGATCTCTTTTTTCAGAATAGTGAACAGGTAATGTCTTTGTGGGCTGTAGACACATTGGAGAATAGTTTACAGATACTACTTGGAATCCTTGTTTAGTGGAAAAAGGAGTAAAAAATAAATTGTATATTGTTTTTTGCATGTCTGTGCATATGAGTTTTTTCAGTTTTTTCTTTGCTTAATCCCTTTACCTTTTTCACCCAGTCCCCCAACCCTTCTCCCTTCTGACAGCTGTCAGTCTGCTTTCTCTGTTGTCTATGAGTCTGTTTCTATTTCGTTTGTTAGTTTAATTTGTTCCATTAGCTTCCACACATAAGTGAAATCATATGGTGCTTGTCTTTCTCTGACGGGCTTATTTCACTCAGCATAATAGTCTCCAGGTCCATCCATGCTGTTGCAAAAGGTGAGATTTTGTACCATGGCTTTTTTATCCACTCATCTACTGATGGGCTCTTGGGCTACTTCCAGATCTTGGCTATTAGAAATAGCGCTGCAGTGAGCATAGGGGTGCAGTTTTTTTGAATTCGTGTTTCTAGTTTCTTCAGATATATTCCCAGGAGTGGAATCGCTGGGTCAAATGTTGGTTGTCTTAAGCCACTAAGTTTTGGGGGCAGTTTGCTATGTTAAGCAGTTGATAACTAACGTGTGTGTGTGTGTGTGTGTGTGTGTGTAGGGAGAGGGACCACACATGCCTGTAGCTGTTTTTACATCTGTCTCCACATGTTAGATCATTCACTGCGCATACATTCATCACTCCATAAAACGACACATAAAATGCCTATCATGGCCCTGTAACAGAAAAGCATTTTTCTTGCACATCACAGTTGCTGCAGCTCTCTGATGCTTTTCTGTATTAGAATAATGTTCTTTCCTGGCTCCAGAGTGTTCCTTGGGTACTGGCACTTTGTGGCTCATGATACTCCAGGGTGGGTGGCCGTGGCTCACACTGACTGAGGAGGTTTATATTGCTGATGATTCGTTAACTAAAATGACCATAAGAATGTGCTGAGAGAGAGAAAACTTGGGGTGCATTTTTCAGATTCTTCAGGTATAAATTTGTTTTCTGTGTCTCCAAGATCTGTAGTCCACTGAACACATCTCTAGGTCTCCCTCTGGAAAGACAAAAGTTTTCCCTTGCATTTTATCATTCTTCCTACGGAATGTGTTTCCTTAGCTGGAGTTGAAATAACCTGGCTAGGCCTCTTGCTTGGCTGTTAGGCTACACATTGCTCTCACAAAGAGAGTGTTATCGGCATGCCGATCTCTTAAATGAATTACCTGCCATTGCCTTAACAATACTTGTCTGATGGGTCAGCTCCAACATTCTGTAGACTGGTGGCTCTTTCCAGCCAGATCTGCAGACTGTGTTTAAATAAGGACACTTTATCACTAGTGCCAAAAGAAATAAGGAAATCAAGTGTTCCTCAATTTAGCTTTTGATGATTTTATAAACCAAGAACTTCAGTTTCCTTTTGTTGGACTTTTTAGTCTCCAGAAATTTGTTTGGAAGTTAATATGCTTTGCATTTGCAGGTAGCATTCCCTTATTTTTTCCTTGGCATTTTCACAGCAGATGAAGTTATACCGATCAGGGCCTGTCTACAGGATACTTATACAGTAACTGGTGTTTCTCAAGCATCTGAAAAATTGTAGGAAGCGGAGTTGGAGTTAACACTTCCATTTGGCCCTAGAGAAGTCTTACTATCCTAGGAAGACCAAAGTGTACTCTTGTACCTTTAATTCACTCAGTAAGTATTTGTGAAGCACCCGTTAAGCGAGTGGAAGATCTGTTCTTCAAGGAATAGATTCTTTCAGAGAATCTATCTGAGCCTCCGGCTCGGATGCAGGAGGTGTTAAATGACAGCACAAGCAATACATGTTCAAGAGCTAGGTGAGCTATAAGTGCACAGTTAGTGATGGTCCATAACAGAACGAGAAATAAGATATTGGTAGAAATGACTGGGAAGCCTGCAGGAAAGACGGAGCCTCTACTGGCCTGGATAGGCT